GGCAGCTGGAAGGAATGCCCCGGCTGGCAGCCAGAAGGCCCGGATTGGCCCGGATCGCCGGCCAGGCCTAGGAACCCCACCCACGTACAAATTTCTTGCATTGAGCCTCTAGTAATTCATAAAAATAATACAAGAATAAGCTGTTTCGCAAACTCACAACCGAAAAACTACTTTTGCCAGACCTTTTGAATATTTTTGTATCTTTGCATTTCTGCAGGTTTGATTCTAAACCCTTATTCCAATGTTTTACTAAGTGTGACCTCAGGATTCCACCTTCCTCCTTAATTATCAGCAATGTAGATTTCTGGCCCTGACCTACTGCATCAGGGTTTTGGAGGTAGTTAAATTTTAAAAAACACAGTCGGATTTGAAAATCTCTGCCGGAATAAAATAGGCATTAGAGGATTTAATGACTGAATGGAGTCAGCTGACTCCAGCTCAGATCCAAGGTACTGCAGTACCAAGTAAGGACAAATGGATGACACGGATGTGCACTGACATCATACACGTGCAGCTCCTGCCTGCCGTGGGTCATGGGATGCTGAGGACCCAGCAGAGATTCAGGGTTTGGCTCTCTTTTCCTCCTCTGCCTATCTCAGTCTCTCCAAAACTTGGCTACTCCTTCCTGGGTAATTTACTGTTTCTTGAGGCATCAATATGTATACTCACATTATTTCAAAGTACTCCACTTGGGAAGCTTTCTTCTTTTATCAATCCTTCCTGTGTGTCACCTATCAATAGGATGAATCTGTATCCTATATGTGGCTTTTTAAAAAAATATATATATTTTATTGCATTTTTACAGAGAGGAAGAGAGAGGCAGAGAGAGTTAGAAACATCGATGAGAGAGAATCATTGATCAGCTGCCTCTTGCACACCCCCTACTGGGGATGTGCCCGCAACCAAGGTACATGCCCTTGACCAGAATTGAACCTGGGACCTTTCGGTCCGCAGGCCGATGCTCTATCCACTGAGCCAAACCGTTTCGGCCCTAGATGTGGCTTGTTAAATGGTTTAAATAACACTAATCATTTGGGGAGAAAATACTTGCAAATTACATATCTGATAAGGTTAATATACAGAATATATAGAGAACTCCTTAAAAAATCCAATTAAAAACTGGGCAAAGAACTTGAGCAGCCATTTCTCCCAAGAAAAAATACAAATGGCCAATAAGCACATGAAAAGATGCTCAATATCACTAATCATTAGATAACACAAATCAAAACCACAACAGCTCCTACCTCACATCTGTTAGGATAATTACTATTTAAAAACAAAAACAAAAAACAGTGGCCCTGGCCAGGAAGCTGGTGAGTCGTCCTATATGCAGGTTCAGTCCCAGTAAGGACATAGACAAGAAGCAACCGAGGAATGCACGAATGCATGAATGGGTGGAACAAATCAATGTCTCTTGAAAAACCGATAAATTTAAAAAAATGGTAAAGATCATAAATTAAGACAACTTAAATGTATGTGTATTTACTACAATAAAAATAATTGGGGGAGAATGATAATAGCTAACATGCTCATAGAATGCTTACCATGCGGCAGGCACTGGTCTAAACACTCCACATGTGATAACTCACTGCAAAAGCACACTCCTCATTTCCCGAGCACTTACTATTGCTCGCAACAATCTAGTGAAGCAGGTGCTGCTATTTACACCTGTTTTACAGACACTGGGGCTGGGAGAGGTGAATACTTTGCCCGTAGTCACAGAGCTGGGAAATGCAGAGCCAGATTTAGAACTGAGATCTGTTGGTGTGAGAGCCCACTTAGCCATAATGCTTCCCACACGTTTAAGGGTGATCCATCACTTCCTGGGCACTGAGTCTCACTGGACACCTGGCACGGAGTCTCATTTTTTTTTTTTTTTAATAACTCACCCGATTAGAGACTTTAAGAACATAGTTACATTTCTTCCGTAGAAGAATGGCACCATTAATACAGTTGATTCCTTTGGCAGCAATTCTAAATAAAGACATTAACAAGAGCTACCCACTGGACTTAAGATAGGAATGCCCACGCCCCAAAGCAACTTCAGCAGACACATTTAGATACCTCCCCTTCACCCCTCAATTATCTCCCAACTGGTCCTTATCCTTAGAAAGGAACCTCTCCACTCTCCCTCCCTCCCGTCCCCTTCCAGATCTACAAAGACATGCCCCTACCCCTTTTCTTTCTAAAGTGAATCTTCTGCAACATCCTGACCGTAGGAGCACTTTGGACACATCCAGCACATCCAAGATAACTCAACCTGCCTCAGCCCCCTGCCCCCCAGAGGGCGGCCAATAGAGGCAGGAGTTAAGCACACGCATTAACCTTTTCATGTCCAACAAGACGGCCTTTCTTTTCTACGCCAAGGGTGGCTTCTTGGCTGCCCGATTGTCCTCGCCCACCTCCCCAAGATGGGCGTGTATTCTCCTTAATTCAGGAATAAAATCCTGGCTATCTCCAGACAAAGATAGGTAGGAGTCTGTAGAAACGGGCTAGGAAGGAGCTTAAAATACTTCACATTCCAGAATCACCCTCCCTTCCCCCCCAGGAGATGGCTTTATTCCCGCTCCTTTCTCAGCAGAGTCGACTCAAAGGAGCTGAAGCTTGCAGTCAGGCAGCTGGTGCTAGCTGTGTGGGCTTAGGTACACGACTGAAATGTCTCAGCTTTAGTTTGCGTATCTGTGAAATGGGTGATACTATCCTCTTCTCCAGGTTACCACGAGGATTAAGAGACATAAAACGACTGGTATCAGTGCCTGTACCTAGGAGTCTACTGTCTTATGAAGGACCCGGAATCACTCAAGGTCTAGTAAAGGGAGAGAAGTCCTACACATTAGTCTCTTGACAAATGTCCTCAAAAAAGTACAGGAAGCCTGGCTGGTGTGGCTCAATGGCTGAGCTTTGACCTATAAACCAGGAGGTCATGGTTTAATTCCCAGTCAGGGCACCTTCCCCGGGTTGCAGGCTCGATCCCCAGGGTGGGGTGTGGAGGCAGCCAATCAATGATTCTCACTTATCATTGATATTTATATATATCTCTCTCCCTTCCTCTTCAAAATAAATAGTATATAAGTATATATATATATATATATATACTTATATACTATTTATATATATATATGTGTGTGTGTGTGTATATATATGTATATATATATATATATATATATATATTTTTTTTTTAAATGTTTTATTTATTTTAAAGATGGGAACAGCCCTAGCCAGTCTGGCTCAGTGGATAGGGCTTCAGCCCACGGATTGAAGGGTCTCGGGCTCCATTATGGTCAAGGGCACATACCGCAGTTGCAGGCTTGGTCCGGCCCTGGTCTGGGTGCATGTAGAAGGCAACCAATCGATGTGTCTCTTTCACATTGATATTTCTGCCTCTCCCCTTCCCTTCCACTCTCTCTAAAACATGGGAAATACCCTTTGGTGAGAATTAACAACAACAAAAGGATGGGAACAGACTTGGCAATAACTAAAAGGAAAATTACATTTTAAGACAAGAGACCCAGTAATCCAAGTCTGTTTTTATCCAACAGCTACTTCTAAACTGGGTTTGGGGATGTGGGGGCAGTGGGGGTGGAGCGGACAGTGTGCCTGGCAGGAGTCTGGGCTTGGGTTCTGATTTCGTTATGTGACCCTGAGCAAGAAACCTCTCCAGCCCAGGACCACGTGCAGATGTTGCCTACTTACCAGGGTGTGATGAGGGTCACTGGCTAAGTTCAGGAATTTAGGGTTTTTTTACCCAACTCAGACTCCATAGGAGTGCAGGCGGGCTATACCAACCCAGGTTTCAGCTGTAAGGCAGGAGTAGCTGAAGCGAAGTGGCCTTCTCCCACCATGCTGCTCGTGGCCCTTCTAAACAGCAAGTTTTCCTTTCCGTCCCAGAAGGGACCGCTCTGGGGCACGACTAACCCTCCCAGCCCCTGATGGGCAAAGGGGCTGGTTATGGAACGTATGTATCACTTCATCCCAGGAGGTGGCAGGCACCCCATCCCCCCCCCAGCCCTCGCCCCCCCAGCCTCACCCCGAGAGTTCCAAGCAGCAGTTAAGCGATGGAATTTCTGTTTTCCTCCTCCACACACCCCATGCTAACACAACAAAGCTGATCATTACTATGCCGTGGGGAAGACTTCTGGCTGCGGAGACATTCGGAGCTGGTTTCAAATCCCAACTTGTTGACTTACCCGCTGTGTCACTTTGGGCAGTTTTGTTTCACTCTTAGAACCTGTTTCCTCTTCTGTAGTCCTGGTTGGTGTGGCAGAATATGGAGAAGCTGAGACCTAGGCAGTACTCTATCAGAAAGAGCTATTCAATTCTCTCCTCTTGCATTTACAGCAACTTTGTAAGAACTATGGGAGGAAAAGGGAGCCTTCATGTTTTTTCATCAAATTTAAGGGGAAATTTTCACATCACATCACAAATTCACTGAGCATTTTTAAGGTACATGCCCTTGACTGGAATCGAACCCAGGACCTTTCAGTCCCTAGGCCGATGCTCTATCCACTGAGCCAAAATGGTTTCGGCTCACTGAGCATTTTTAAAAAGACATCCTGCAACGGGCCATCACACCACTAACATAAAAATAGTACCACCCTAAATAAAAAGTTTTACAGTTTCGAAAGTGCTTTATCATCTACTACCTCATTGAATACCTGCCAAATCCCTGCGAAGTAGCATTTATCCCCATTTTACAGATAAGAAAACTAGGACTCGGAAAGATTAGGCTAAAGGCACAGCACAAGTAAGTGGTGGAACCTGGATTTCCAGCCTTCTGAAGTACAAAGTCAGCATGCTCTGCAATTCACAAGGGAATTTCGTGTTCACCGAGCCTACGTTGTTCAGACATGTCTGAAATGGCATTTCAGGAACCCAAAGTGGAATGACCAGGTGAGCGAACGTGGTTAGAGAGATGCAGCCCTCTGGCTCCTTCGTAGCTCCCCTAGACAGTCTTCCTTGGTTCAGGGAGACTCAGCGGGCAGAAGCTGCCCCGACTCTGACATGTTTGAGAAAGCTTTTATTAGGTGTCCCGGAAGGCAACATTTTTAAATCAGGCCATCAATAATTACAACTAAAGACATCATTTCAGATAAACTTGCCTTTCAAAATAAGTCAGACTCTCACAACAGGATAACTGCCCAAGAGCTTTTTTCTTGTACAAAAAACACCACCACTTTGCAAAAGGCATACAAAAATACAGTATTAAAAAAACAACCCACAAACAAACAAACAGACAAAAAAACTGCTTCCAGTATAATACCCAACAGCAGCTTATAAAACACAAACTGTTCGGGTGAGACATCAGTAACCTACTTCCCACCATTCTCCAAAGACAGATCCAGGAGTCACTTGGCTCCGGAAAACCATGCTCCAAACGGTAGAGACTTTCTCCAAACTTCCACAGGGGTTCTCTAGGGCCACGAAGCCACCTCAGAAACAGACTCGCGTGCATAACAGGTTTGGAAGAAGCAGGTGGCTTTCCAGAGCCACAGACAGCTCTCAACCACCCTTCCCGCCCCCACTTTCAACTCCCACAGCCAGCAGAGTCCTGGAAGGGGGCTGATCCTTTACCCAGAACAGGCTTGAGGGCCACTGAGCTTGCCCACAAGACACGATAGGGTTAGGTGGTCTTCTGCAGCCTGGAGGCCGCCCCTGGAATCCACTTGGAGGTGCCAAGACCAGCTGGGGCGAAATGCACCACGGCCCGCTAAGCAGAGCTCCGCCCGGGAGGCCAAGCCGCCTTCTGGAGCCCTGGCTGCGTCCCAGCAGCTCTCCCAGGAAGACCTTCGGAGAGACCCACGTCCTGAGGCAGGGATCGGACTCCTGTCAGGCTGGCAGGTGGCCCACAGGTGGCTGCAGAGGCACAAGCTCCCTGGGGCTGCACGAGAAGGACAGGTTTGCATGGTCCTAGTTACTAGAATCCAGTAGAACTTCAGACGTATCCGTCGGGGCTTGAGATGAGAGGAAGCCGAGAGGGAGGAAGTGATACGGTTCTCTCCCCTGATGAGCCTGACCACCGCCTTTGAGAAAAGATCCCGAGATGGAAGACACCTGGGGAGGGCACAGGTTCACAGCCAGAGCTCCAAGCCTTCCCTAGGGGGGACCCACGTCCCCGCATCTTGGGGAAACATTTCTGGCCTCTGGGGGAAGGGGTGCCGGAAAGCCATTGCTGACGAAGGCAGGAGGAAACAAAAAAAGTCCCTCCTGAGGACAGAACGGTCTTTCCCTCAGAGGAAAGGGCCCACGGGGCTTCGAGACAAAGAATAATCCAGAGGCCAAGCTCTTTAAAATGTTTTCGAGGCCGCAGCGCGGTGCGGGAGGAAGGGGTGTCAGCTAACAATATATACGTATATATTAAAGGTTTCCAACTCCTCGGCTACTGTAAAGTGTCCGACAGTGAGGTAACGGTCCGTGTTGATCAAGTCCGCGAGCTCGTCTTCGCCCGACGGCTCGTGTGTCTCCTGGAAAAAGGAGCCTCGGGGAGCGCGTCCAGGCCCAGCTGTCCCAGCATCACCCCAGAGACACCCGTGGGAGCATCCCTCCCCGGCCTGGAGCTCATCCGGAGTGTGAGATTTCATGCAGGCTGGAGGCCCCGGCGACGTCCACCACCTGTTGCATAGCATCTGTCAGGCTTTTCTTCAGAGTCAGTGAGCGAGGCAGACCCCGAGGCTCCTCAGTCAGCTGCCTTCCCCGCGCAGCCAGAGGCGCCAGAGAGGACTCAGTGCTCCCGTGGAGTCAGGGAAGAGGGAGAGCCGGGTTCCCGGGTTCCCGAGAACGCAAGCCCTTACTGTGTGTGCACCAGCTGCAAAAAGCATCCTGGGATCTACTGTCCGCCGTAACCAAAAAAATGTGCAAATTACTAAAGCGGAGAGGGACGGTTACAAAAAATTAACTCGGGTCTCTGCAAGACGGAGCAGCCCGGGCGTGTGGGTCCGCTAGTAGCCACTGAGGTACGCGATTCTCTTCTGCAGCTGCTGCTGCCGGCACCGAAGCTGCCTCTTCTCCGTGGCCATCCTCTTCTCGGCCCCCACCAGGGCCTGCAAGTATTCCAGCGCCTTGCTCAGGATCACCACTTTGGGGGCCTTGGAGCAGCTGGCCAGGGTGGGCACCTGGTCCCTCAGGGCCAAGAACCGCGAGCGGAGGTCGTTCCGCCTCTTGCGCTCCAGGAAGTTGTGGTTCTTCCTCTTGGTCACATCCTCGGTGTCAGAGCCCACGGGTCTGGGGTGGCAGGACTGGGGAGCCTCGCCCTCTGCAGGCAGGGCGCTCCCGACCTCTTCCTGCACCTCCTCTCCCTTCTCCTCCGGAGCAACTCCCTCCGGGGCCTCTCCCGGTGGATCTCTCTCCGGAGGCCCTTCTTCCTGGGAACAGCTTTCGGGGGGGAAACGGGCGGCGTAGTTGTGCTGCTGCTGGTGGATGGAGATGTGGAAGTGCTTCATACAGGGGTCCAAGGGGTCCGCTCGCACGGTGATGGTCACTGGCTTCCGCACGCCCAGGGACTGCCTCTTCTCCACCGTCACCACGTCGATCTCTTCGCCCTCTGTCCACGGAGAGAGAGAGAGCGAGACACAAACACACGCCGTGAGAAACATACACAAGGACCCTCGGCCGGGAAAGGACGGCGACCATTTTCCTAATTTAGATAGAAGCAACCTGAAGGGAAGGGAAAGACAGCCGACTCATTGGTGAATGGGTGAGGGCAGTGGGAAGGGAAGGAGGGAAATATTCTCCAATTTCCTTCTGCACAGCGAGGCTCCGATAAGAACAAAAGGCAGGCCCAAGCCAACAGCCCCCAGTCTGCACCGGCTCTCCCCTCCCCCACGGGAGAGGACGGAGAGAAAGAGCTATCAGCCTGGGACAAAGTTTAGCTATAAAGATCTTCCCCAGTCGGGCTCTTTCATGCCCCATCAGAATTGTAAATGAGGGGTCTGTGGGCAGAGTTGCCCTTTGTTCCCGCCCAGCACAGCCTGCACTTGGGGAATTGTTACTTTTCACAAGTTATAAATCCTATTATTCCCCCACCTCTCTATTCTACTATCCCTTTCAGACGAAGATGCGGGGCGGGGAAGGGGGGGGGGGGCGGCTGCGGCCACCTCTCCTCCCTCCACACGCACACAGGGGAAGGGGAGGTCTCCGTGAGGGGCGTTCTGCTATCGGGTTCAGTGGGCTTCTAAAGTCATCCATCATTTATAGGCCGCCGGCCCCACCCCCTTCCCTGGACCAGAATAGGGTTGGATTTGTAAATCGCAGGTCGGCAAAAAGCTGCAGGAACTTCACAAAGGTACAAACAACGGTTTCCTCACTACCTGTGCCAGGGGTAAAGACTGAGCAGCAGAATATCCCCCCACGCAAGGGCTGAATCACCGGGGACCTGGACGTGCCCCATCGTCCCCTGGCTGGAAGGTCTCTTAGGTTACCCCAACCAGGAGAGGGGCATTTAGGGGAAAAGCTTCCTGCTCCACCACGCGTTTTTCAGACCTCCGCACAGAAGACCACCTAATGCATTCCAGCCTGACAACAGAGGAGCTCAGTGCCCCGTCTCCTTTGCATATCAGGAAGCTGGAGCCCCTTTGTCAGGAAGCCTTCCATTGTGTGGACAATCGCATTACTTCTCCATTAATAAAACCTGACCATTCAGCCCTCCTGGCCCCGAGGCCTGTGATTGGCTGGCTCGGCTGTGTTTGGAATGCTGTTTTACCCGGCCCCTCCCCGCGATTGGCTGAGCTTTGCCATCAGTCACTCTCCCCACCCCCCTCATTGTTTGCAATCTGTTGCATTTTGTTCTGGGCCATGTGGCCTGTGAACCAGGAGCTTGCAAACAGGTTCGGGTTAAAGGGCAGGTCAGGAGATTATTCGGGAGGCTCCCCCCGCATCCCAAACGTTAATATTTCAGTGTTAAACCTGGTGGCTGGGAAGTGCTCGGCCTCAGGGATAAATAATGTAAAACTCTTACTCCCGTTTTCAGAGTGAAGTGTCTAACTCTCCCCAGACAAGGACATGCCCTCAGCTGGACAAGCAAGGCCACCCCCCTCCTATGCCAAGGGAGAAACAGACCTAGATCATCCAAACCCACACATCACTTTTGTGACATTTTGGACCTCAAAGTAAGATCTCAAACTCCCAAAACAGTGCTCTTCCCACGCTATCACTCCCATCAGCCTTCCTAGAGATATCTCTTTATTGGTTTCTTGATCTCCAAATTCCCTTCCCAGCCATTAAACAAACACAAGATTTCTGGGGTAGGAAGCAAGCAGGTTAAAAATGACCTTAAACACAGTGGACTGAAAAAAAAAGTTCACTTTAAAATGTTTCTTGTTAGTATCCTTAGTTTTTCCCCTCACGTGTATGACGACTTCCATACCGTATTCCCTAGTCCCCGCTAAATAGTCATGCAAAGTTATCCTTAAAAGTGAACAAATGGGACATCTACAATACTTTCAACAATAAGGTAAATTTAAAAAAAAAAATGACAGGGTTTTCTCTGTCCTGCATCTTATAAAAGCGCCGTCTCCGATATTTCTAATGGACACAGAGGTTCGAGAAGAGGATAGGCTAAAAGCATAGTTGTCTGATGGCACAGGATGCTGGTCTGCCCTTAGTGCGGTTTATTACACTTTGCATTCAACGATGGGGAAAGGGGCCTGGAGTTCCATATCCCTGACCCCAGCATCTAGAGAGTTTGGCGCAAAGTAGGGGACAGTGAACATTTTTTCAAATGCAAGGAGGCAGCCGAGGCTCTCGGGCGCATTGGGAGGGAGTTAAAGGGACCCCTTTCCACCTCAGGCCAAAGCCACAAGGCAAGGGGCAGCCCTTCTCAGATAAACTACGACGAAGACCCTCTACACACCCAGAAGTACCTGGCGGAGATGGAGGGAAGCTGGGGCCCCCTCCTAGTGATTTCCTATTTCTAAGCCTCAGTTTTCCCATCAGTTAACGGTCAGAGTTCACTCCACCCCTACCTGTCTCGTGGGTAATGGTGTGGATGCACCAATGATAAGGGACGGGAGCATTTTAAAGTAAAGCAGACAGGAGACTAGGTTTTTAAAAGGAGGAAGGCTTTTGGCTCTGCACAAAAGGCTCCTCAGCTTCCTCTCTCTCCCTAGGGGAGTGTGGGTTTCCCAGGAAAAGAGGCAGCCACAAAACACTTCAAGCCTGGAGTGACCCTTCAAGGGACCTCTCCCAGCCTCCCAGGACAGAGATCCCCTCCTGTCCAATCCCGCATTGTCCTCGCCAAGCCTCCCCCCCGTCTCCCTGGTCCCCTGGGGTTCCAATCACCATCAGAGCAGCGCGGGCTCCCACGCCACTTCTCCGAACTGTTTACTAACACACCCACGTGCCAGACAGACACCGCTGGGGGCTCCCCGGGCGGCTTCAGCCCGAGGAAGGGGGAGGTGGCCGGAGGGCCAGCGAAGATCCAGCGCCAGACCTCAGGCAGCGGCAGAGTTTTGGCCACCCATGGGGTTCCCCCCCCCCGTCCCCCCTCTTTGATCAGCCCGGCGCAGTCCTTACCCGAGTCGCTAGGGCTCTCGGACCCCGAACAGGCCTGGGTCTTGGGCTCGCTCAACGGACAGGGGGCTGCGGGCACCGGGGCGCCCACGTCGAGGCTGGGAGCGCAGTCCGGGGCGGCGGGCAGCTTGGGCGGGTTCCCCCGGGGCGCGCCGGGGGCCGCCAGCCGGTCGCTCACCGCCCTCTCCAGCCGCTCCCGGGCCGAGAAGCCGCTCCACATGCAGTCCCGGCGGATGATGGAGGCGTAGTTCCTGCCCCAAGCTTTGGAGTGGCCCCGGGATTCCGCCTCGTCCCCGGCGCCCCCTCCGGGCCACGGCTCCGGGGGACCAATTCCGGGGGCCGGGTCCCCGGCGCCGGGACCCGAGCCCCAAGGCGGCGACGTGGGAGGCGACGGCACCAGCTCGAATTTCTTCCAGATGTCCTCGCTGGGCGCCGTGGAGCGGTAGAAATCCTCCCCGCAGTCATAGTCGTAGAAATAGTGCTGGTACGAGTCGAAGTCCATGTCCGCTCCCTGCGAGAGGGGAAGGGGGACGCGAGCTGATGGGGGGTCCGGGCCCCGGGGGAGGGAGGCGTTCCCGGGTTCCCAAGCACCGCCGGCTGCAAGGCTCTCCCCCTCCCGAACCTCCGGGCTGGGCACCCACGCCCTCCCCTCGCGTCCCGGGGAGCCCGGGGCTGGGTCCGCGAGCCCGGGGAAGCCGCTCCCGGAGCGCGGACGCGGCTGCAGAGGAGCGAGTTCAAAGCAAACTTTGCCAGCGCCGCCCGGGGCGCAGCTCCCGGGGCCCGGCCGGACCGGGCGGGGGCGCCCTGTGCCCAGAAGGCAGCCTGCAGCCCGCTCGCCCCCCGGGACCCGTGCCCGTACCCGGGGCGGCCCCCCCAGCCTCACCTCGCTCCGGCCGCCCGCCACCGGGAGCGGACCCGCTCGGGGCCGGCGCGGGGCAGCCCGGCAGCCCGCACACAAGCACATGCGCGCCACCGAGCGCGCGCCCCGCATCCAGGAGCGCGCCCCCGCGCGCGCCCCCTCCGCCTCGCTCGTGCACGGGGCCCGGACGCTACCGGGAGAGGCGGCGCGGGAGCGCGAGATGCAGGCGCATTGTTTCCCGGCGCCTTATATCTCGTCGCGCGCCCCGGGCTCCGGGACCCGGGGGCGGGCCCTACGGGACAAGCCCCTCCTCCTCCCGTTCGCCCCCTCCCAGCGGTCGACAGGTGGGGACTCGGAGTCCCCGCCCCGCCCCTGCCGGCTGGTCTCCCCGGCCCCCTGAGTCCCCTGGACCCCACAAATGCATGGCACACTGGGAGGGCATGGCGGGCGGCGAGCTGCTGCAGCCCGGCGGCCGGCGGCGGGGGCGTGACGCTGCGCCGAGACCCAGCCGGCCCGGCAGGCCGCGCCGAGACGGGGACCCGGCCCACTCCGGGCTGGGAACGAGGGCAGCTCCCCGCCGCGCCCCGCCCGGCCCAGCCCCGGAGGCTGCTTCCCAGGCCTCGCCCAGCGCGTTCAGGTGCGCCCGGCCCGCGGGGGGCGCGGCGGGGAGGCCTCGCACCTACACTGCGCCCCCTGGCGGCCCGCACTCCCGCTCCGGGGCTGGTCCCCAGCATCTGCTGCTTCACCCGCGGACCCGTTTCTGCAGTTAAGGGGTTGCAACCTGGACTCCAGCGAAACGAGGTGGTGAAGATTTCGGACTCTGGAATCTGAAACTTCACTTTTTTCTTTTCTTTTTTAAATATTTTCTTGATTTTTTTACAGAGAGGAAGAGAGAGGGATAGAGAGTTAGAAACATCGATGAGAGAGAATCATCAATCAGCTGCCTCTTGCACCACCCCTACTGGGGATGTGCCCACAACCAAGGTACATGCCCTTGACCGGAATCCAATCCAGGACCCTTCAGTCCGCAGGCCGACACTCTATCCACTGAGCCAAACTGGTCTCAGCTTCTTTTCTTTTTTTAAATAATTTTCAACAGTTCTTATGCTGTCATTTTATTTTTTTATTTTTTAAATATTTTATTGATCTTTTTACAGAGAGGAAGAGAGGGGGATAGAGAGTTAGAAACATCAATGAGAGAGAAACATCAATCAGCTGCCTCTTGCACATCCCCCATTGGGGATGTGCCCGCAACCAAGGTACACTCCCTTGACGGGAATCGAATCTTGGACCTTTCAGCCTGTAGGCCGACGCTCCATCCACTGAGCCAAACCGGTTTCAGCTTCTTTTCTTTTTAATCCTCACTCGAGGATATTTTTCCATAGATTTTTTTTTTTTAAGAGAGTGGGAGAGAGAGACATATTGATGTGAGAGAAACACATGGATTAGTTGTGTCCTGCACGGGCGCTAACTAGGGCCCGAGCGGGGAGGAACCTGCAATGGAGGTACGTGCCCTTGACCGGGATGGAACCTGGGCTGGGACCCTTTGGTCCTTAGGTGGGTGCTCTACCCACTGAGCCACAGTTTACTTTTTTGAGCCTCGGTTTCATCTACAAAACGAAGGGATAGTAAAACCTCAGCGAATTATGAGTTCTTAAAGAAGATAATGGTATCTAGAGAAGGGAATTAGATGAGGAGGGGAGGCCAGCAGAACAGAGCCCCTGGTTCGGGGGTAAGGAGGATAATTTTCCCCCAGGGCCAGGCCACGTTGCGGCCTCCCCCTTACACCACGCACAAAACACTCTGTAGGGGTTGCAGTATTAGAGGAAAGAATGGGGATTCGGCATCTGGAAACTGCTTAAGCTCTTACTTTGCTACTTGCTAGCTGTAGAGCTAAGACACATGAAGGCCTCTGTCTGCTTACCTGTAAAATGGGAACATTGCTTGCAGCTTGCAGCTCTCTGACCAAGATGATGGACAGGTAAACCCTTTATGTCATCTTACATGTAGAGTACCTTTGGTAAAAGAGGAAAAGTCAGACGATACAGATATTCTATTTAGACCGATGAAAGTAACTTGGAATAGCTGCCAATTAATCTAGAATGCTTCACCTGGCATTCAAGGTCTTGTCTCTGTCTACAAGCAGCAGCCTGATGGCCCGCTGTCTGTGTCTTTCCCTCTCACCTCTGTGGTCTAAGAACAACATCCCAGCAGAGAGAAAGGAGAAGGACAAGTAGTTGAGTGTTATTGGAACATGGGACACACGGCGTGAGTTGATACATGAGTTGGGAGGAGGCAGGGAAGATGATACCCTCAGCTTTGAATATGTTGGGTCTAAGGTGTATGTGGGACATCTTACTGGCTCTTACTAGCTTTGTTACCTCAGTGCCTGGCAGATATTTATGAGCTTACTGAGCGATTCAGCCAACCAGATATTATTGAGACAGCCTGTGTGCCCTGCTTTGTGCTGAACAGAAGCTTAGATCAGGAAAGTTTCAGTCTGGTGGCAGGCCTGAGGCAGAAGAATTGGAAATGTCTTTTGGAGACTTATTCTCTGGTCCATAAAAATGTCTGAAATGGTTGCTGTACCAGCGTTCTTGGTTACAAATGACAGAAACTAGCCCTGGATAAATTTAAGCAGAAAATCACTTTGTTGGAAGGATTTTTGAGTTTAGAATCCATACGAAGCTGGGAATCTGTGCTTGGAATACGAGTCTTCTTTCTTTATCCAGACAAGAGTCCTTACTCAACAGCCCCTCTCTGTGATTCATTGTACAGTAGTAGGTGATATTGGGGGGGGGGGGGGAAGCCAGGAGATGACTCCACCTCAAGAAACAGGATACAGTAAATTAAGTGTCATCTGAGAGGCTGTTCCTTCACTTTGCACTTTGTTTGATGTTGGTCTTCTTACCAGACTATAAACTCAATGAGGGCAGAGACAAATATCAGTCTCCTTGACTGCTGTAACTCAGAACAGAGTCTGGCACATCATGGGTGTTTTGTGAATGTGTTGCCTGTTTGACTGGACCTATGCCTCTAATGCTTTAAATTAGAAATGTGTCGGCTTCCAGTGGCAAGGTCTGGGGAAGGGGTAGTAGGCCCATGTCTGGTCATGAAGGTGTCAAGAAGGGTCTTGGGTCCGGCCAGCAGTTAAGCTCACTGGTTCGATACCCAGTCGGGGCATATGCTCGGGTTGGAGGTTTGATCCCCAGTAGGGGTGTGTGCAGGAGGCAGCCAATCAATGAGTCTTTCTCATCATTGATGTTTCTAGCTCTGTCTTCCTCTCCCTTCTGGTCTGAAATCAATTTTTTTTTAAATATTAAAAAAAGAATAAGAAGCCCCCAGCCCAAGAAGCAGGCCAAGGAGACAGATGAGGAAGGTAAGGCATTTGAACAGAAGCAAAAAAGAGGAGCACGCCCTAACGGGTTTGGCTCAGTGGAGAGAGCGTCAGAACCTGCAGACTGAAAGGTCCCTGGTTTAGCCAAGATTGGTTTGGCTCAGTGGACAGAGCGTCAGCCTGCAGACTGAAAGGTCCCAGGTTTGATTCCATCAAGGGCATGTACCTTGGTTTGCGGGCACATCCCTGGGGAGGAGCGGGGGACTCGAGTGCAGAAGGCAGCTGATTGATGTTTCCCTCTCATAGATGTTTCTGACTCTATCTCTCTCCCTCCTCTCTGTAAAAAATCAATAAAATATATATTAAAAATAAATAAATAAAGAGGAGCAGGAGAAACTCGAGGAGCTAAAAGTGAAGGCCACAGGGAAGGGCGCCCAGGCCACTGGTGGTATTAAGAAATCTGGCAAATAAATGGTGATGGAAAAATAAAATAAAATGGAATAAAAATAAATGAATAGCCCTAACCAGTTTGGCTCAGTGGATAGAGTGTCCGCCTGTGGACTCAAGGGTCCCCGGTTCAATTCCAATCAAGGGCATGCACCTTGGTGTGGGCACAACCCTAGTAGGGGGTGTGCAGGAGGCAGCTGATTGATGTTTCTCTCTCATTGATATTTTTTAAAAATATTTTTTATTGATTTTTCACAGAGAGGAAGAGAGAGGGATAGAGAGTCGGAAACACCGATGAGAGAGAATCATCGATCAGCTGCCTCTTGCACACCACCCACTGGGGATGTGGCCGCAACCAAAGTACATGCCCTTGATGGAATCGAATCCGGGACCTTTCAGTCCTCAGGTGACGCTCTATCCACTGAGCCAAACCGATCCCGTCTCTCATTGATATTTCTAACTCTCCCTCTCCCTTCCTCTCTGTAAAAAATCAAAATATATTTAGGGGAAAAAAAATAAATGAATAAAAGTAAACTTTTATAAAAGAAGGACTCCCTCTCAGAGCACACCTGCCCCCTTCTGCTTCCCCTCAGTCACACCGTTACCCTCTCTCTCCTAAGCTCCAGGGACCCCTTCTTTTCCTCTGTAACTTGTATCCTACGCCCACTTCTATGGCTCACTTCTTCTACCTCTGACTTTCTAAGTAAACCTTCTCTTATTAAAAAAAAAAAAGAAAAAAAGACCTATGGGCCGAAACCGGTTTGGCTCAGTGGTAGAGCGTCGGTCTGTGGACTGAAAGGTCCCGGGTTCGATTCCGGTCAAGGGCATGTACCTTGGTTGCGGGCACATCCCCGGTAGGGAGTGTGCAAGAGGCAACTGGTCGATGTTTCTCTCTCGTCGACGTTTCTAGCTATCTCTCTCCCTTCCTCTCTGTGAAAAATCAATAAAATATATTAAAAAAAAAAAAAAAAAAAAAAAAAGACCTATGGATTCTTTTATAAAATCACCGCCAGGATTCAGGGCTCTGTTCTCCTGGCAGTTTGCTAATTTTGCATGACAATTAGTACTGACTTCTCAAAACGGGCTATCCAAATACAGTTTGAGAATGTCCCACGTAGTTTCTCAGAAATCATGGGTAAACCTGTGCTTTTTTTTTTTTTTTTTTTTTCACACTGGGGGAGGAGGAACTTGCATAATTACTAAATTCCCAATTGGAGTGGTCTGGAGGAAGACACAGCAATCCGAAACTATACGTTAATTCAAGCCCTTCCCGAGACCGGGCAGCCAAGAGCCAGGATAGGCCTCACTTAAAATCTGTTCTGCCTATTCACTGACCACACAGGCCTGGGTCACATGGCCTCTCTTGCAGCCAATCCAACTGTGAGCAGCAGATGGGATAATTTGCATTTTTCTTCTTATATTTTCTTTGAGAGTCAAATTAAAGGATTTTTTTTAATTAGAGGGGGGAAAGAAATCTGGCAAAAGGTGAGCTGTTCCTTGTGCCTGGTGATCCTTAATTCCATTCCTGTTTGTTTGTTTTGTTGTTTTTAATAGTTTATTGATT